GGTAGAATGGGGGCAGGAAATGGGGTATAAAGGGGCGGGAGATGGGGTAGAATGGGGGCGAGAGATGGGGTAGAAAGCTTAGGCTCTCTGAAAGACCCAAGAACCATCTGAAAAATCAGGTCTTCATCATCTAGATTGTGAATAGCAAATGGCCTTCACCTCTAAAACACAGATGGGACTAAGAAGACTAAAACTACAGGTCTGTGCATCCATTATTAGAAATTCAACACAATGAATTTGTTTTCTTTAAGGCAAACTAGTTTAGACGAATCTGTTTGCTGATGTAAACTTTTTTTTTTCCCTCAAGGATATTTCCCTGTCACCATCTGTCCTTCCAGGTACAGTATGACAAATGACAGTAACATCAAATCTGCTTAAAAGTGGAAAAGGAAAGTGTCTATACTTCCCTATTTGCAAACCAACACATGGAATTTTTTTTTTTTTTTTTGAGACAGGGTTTCTCTGTGAATCAGTCCTAGCTGTCCTGAAACTCACTCTGTAGACCAGGCTGGCCTCGAACTCACAGAGATCCACCTGCCTCTGCCTCCTGAGCACTGAAATTAAAGGTGTGGGCCACCACTGCCCAGCTGTGGCATTGGTTCTTAAATTAAACTAGTTCAGAAAGATGGCTCCTTGTCATTCCTGGAGATATTTTAACTAGGGATTGAAAACTACTAAACTGGGAAAGAGGGGAACTTTAGGAAGATTCTGTAACGTCACTCAGCCTTACCAAGAAGTGACTGATATTAGGGAAGACACGCCAGCCATTCAGGAACTTAGAGTTCTAGGTTAGCCACATATGAACGTTTATTTTGAGCAATGTTGAAATGTTGTGGCATAGTAAAATTGCTGGTTTATTCCAAAGAAGCCGAAAGTTGATTTAAATTAAAAATAAGCTCATAAATGAGGAGTCCAAAGTTCTTGTTGCCTCTTTTATCAAATATTTAATAATTTTTAGGTAAATGAGTATAGAACTTGGTGGTTTCCAGTTGCCCTAATCAATTAGCTCCAACTTCAAATTCCCCTGAAACACTGTTCCATAGGCAATTTACTGGCTTTTAAAAACGAGGAAAACTATAAGGTACTTTGCTGTTTGAGAAGTTGAGGTTGAGAAGGGAATAAGGTAACTGCAGTTTAGAATGCAGAATAGTCTGGCAGTGACAAAGATGCTAAGCACTCATACAGCTTTTCCTGCTGCAGTCTTAACACTGACGTAATTGGTGGGTGTTAGAAAGGCAAGGTGACATAGACAGACACATCCAGATCTGGTAGCTTCGTCTCCAAGCTTTAAAACAAAGATCGAAACTCAAGATGCTTGTTTGGTTTTGAGACAGGGTTTCTCTTTGTAGCCCTGGCTGTCTTAGAACTCGCTCTGTAGACCAGGCTGGCCTCGAACTCACAGAGATCCTCCTGCTTCTGCCTCCCCAGTCCTGGGATTAAAGGGGTGCGCCACCACTGCCCAGCAAAATTCAGTACTCTTAAGCCAAAGCTAAGTCATTAAGAGTTCCTGATTGTTTAAAACTAGTTTTAGTACGGGGGTACCGCCATGTTTTTCTCCGAGGTTTATGTCAAAAGTAATTCCCAAGGCTGGAGAGATGGCTCAGGGGACAGGAGAAAGAGACCTTTAGGAGGTGATTAAATCACCAGAGTGATTAGTACCTTATAAAGGGATGAAGGAAGGGACGGAGCTAGAAGGCCCCTTTGCCTTTCTGTCTCTTTTACCATGCAAGAAGGAGCCACCCTGGATGCAGAGATCAGGTCCTTACCAAACACCCAAACTAACTCCACCCTGACCTCAGACTCCATAGTCTTCAGAACACTCAGATATAAATTTGCTGTTTATAAATTACTTCATTCCAGGTATTTTTTTTTTGAGAATAACATGAAAAGAGCAAGGTGGGTCCAAAAAGGAAATCGACAGCTTACCTAATTTGTGTGATATTGTGGGTAAAAACAAATGTGAGTTAAAATGAATGTCAAGATTAAAATGGTGAGGTTGGGAACACTAGGGATAAGAAATGAAAAGGCTTGCAGCTGGGCATGAGATAGCCAAGCGAACCAGAAAAGGGGAAGGACAGGGCTCTGGAAAAAACAGCAGAGTTGGTCTTGGCAGGCTCCATCTGGCTCCCACAAAGCCCCTACCACCACCCTGAGAACACACCCAAGGCACTGTTGCCCTCTCCCCTCTTCCTGCATCTGGTTGCAACAAACTAAATTGTAAGAATGGCTTTGAATAAAGCCCTGCCTACTAAATTCCCGCTCCCACCGGTCTCTAAAGGGGATGGGGCTTTAAGTTAATATATGACCTGCATAAGTGACTTGGTATGATAAACATCACAGAGGTACTAGAAAGGAGAGTATGGGCTGATTAATGTGTGACTATAATTCAAGCTGACTCCATCCCCAGGCAGCAGGAGCTGGGCTTGCTGTGGCTGGTGGTAGCATCACGGACAGAGACTGGAATTTCTTACCTTCAGCGTTCTCTGCTTATGATCAGAAGGGCCTAGATGTTCTAACGACCTCCCTATAAATATCCATTAGCAAACTTGTAGCATCTATGCTAACATGTTAGCATCAATTTGCAGAATAGACTAGGTTGTGGTAAGATAAATATTACTATGGACATAAACATCCGAGGAGTTTATTTATGTCCTTTCTCAGAGGCTGATATTAGTTATTATCTAATACATTTACATATGTTATAAAATTTCAGACACTTTATATTCAGTTTACTAGGCCACAGAGTGACTTCTTTTCTGTAAAGGGGCAGAAAAAAATTAATTAAGTTTATCCAGCCAGTGGGTGTCTGCAATTATTCAACTCTGCCTTTTACTGTGATAGATAATATGGAAATGAGTGTGCATGGCTAGACTCTAATAACATTTTATAAAAGGAGAATATAGTCATTAGCAGGTAAAATTTGGTAAGAGTTCATCTACCTCTATAGTAGAAAGGCAAGGGAATCACATCATTTTAAAAAGGATTCTGGTAGAAGCTGTTATTGTATGCATATCTATTTTCCCTATAAATCTCCTATAGAGTCTACTAACACACTTACATAAATCCCTTCCTTATGAATAATTTACTTGTGTGTTAATAGCTAATAGCCATAAATCTACAATTCTGATGTCACCAGTAGAACATGTTTCTATTCTGATCAACTAAGGATGTTAAAATCTGGCAGAACTGGACATAGTACTGCTTAGAAACCACCAAAGCAGCATCATGGCACCAAAGAACCTCTCCTCCCACACACACCAGCATCACTAGATTCTTTTAAGTTCCGGATAAAGAAAAACTACTAGCCATGTACTGAAGTTTAAGTGTATTTATACAAATTCAGGCCCGCTAGAAAATTTTTAAACTTTTATGATTTTTTTTCACTTTTTTGCCAATATAGATCCTTTATAATAACATCATGCTGGTTTCATTTGTAATTCATGTTAGCAGTACTGTCTTCCTGAGTTTACTACAATAGGATATTTTTATGTGCACAATACGTACACACTAAAGATTTTGAGAGGAAATCTAAAGCTGATTGTTCTCAAAGTTCTGGTAGGCAAAATTGGGAATGCAAGGTAAATGTATTTCCTTAGAGGTATGTGACATCTTCGTTGATATGGAAGTAGCTGATTTTTCTCATCTGTGCAGTGGATGCGTATGTACATGTTCACGTGTGTGCACACATGCATGTGGAGGCCAGAAGCTGAAGTCGGGTGTCTTCCCTCTACCTTACTTTTTGAGGCAGGGTGTCTCACTGGACCGGGAGCTCACCAACTCCCCTGAACTAGTTGGCCAGCAAGCCTGCGATCCTGCCGTTTCTGTCTCCCCAGTGTTGGGGCCTGGCCGTGCATTAGAGCACCTGGGGTTGGTTTTTACAAAGGTTCTGGAGGTAGAACTCGGGTCTCCACGCTTGCAAGGTCAGCCCTTTAGGGACCAGTCATCTCTCCACCTCCGGTTTTCAGGTATGAGAAAGTCTCATTATTTACGTGTCTAACGGGAGACCATCCCTACATCTGCCTCACCCCCCTGAGCCCTGGGATTACAGGCATACCCTATGTCTATCCGGCAGCAGTTGTTTATAAGGCGCATACATTTCTCTTTAATTGGCAAGTGATATTTGACCTACTGAAAAGTTTTGTTGAAAACAATCAACAAAACCCAAAACAAATAATGAACAAACAAAAACTTTTTGCCTATTACTCCACATGCCGGTTCTTTGTCATATCTGAAGTCATCAAAAAGGAAAAGGGCACTCAAATCTGCTGATCTCAACCATAGATACGGCACTGCCAAAAGATCACGACAATTCGGTTTTGGACGAGTTGGCTAATAACTGATTGATGATAGGCGGGTGTCTCCAACTCGGTGGGTCTGTTTCCTGATTTGGAAAGCGAGGAGAATGCATTTGACCAGCTGCCTCACCGCTCCAGTATTGTGAGACAGCCAACACACTGTACCTTCCACTCTCAGGGCGCTCACTCACTGGCTGGGGAAGTGGCTTGGTGGTACAGTGATTCCATTGCATCTACCAAGCCCTGGGTTGGCTCCCAGCACCCGTACAAACACAGGTTGAGTAATACCCTTACCACCAGGGTGGTGGGAGTACCCGTGGCTGCACACAGAGACACAAGGAGGCTTCAGCTCTCAATTCCTCTCTCTAGCTTTCTCACGGGACACGTCTGTTCTTGCAGTTACCCTAAGAATCCTTTCATCTCGGCTTCGGGTGCTGATCGGCTGTAACTCTCCCTGCCTTTTTCCAGAGGCTCCGGCAGCCCCAGACTTCCTCAGCCTCCTCGGACTCCCTGCACTCGACCCACTCAAGAGACACGCGCCGCTCGGGGGCCGTCTCCCTGACCCAGGGCTTGGCTCTCCCCGCATCCCCCAAACCTCTCGGTGGTGACAGCCGGTTGACCGCAAGCTCAGCCCTTCCCGCCTCGCTTGGGCTCCCTCTCAGACTGTCCCAGGGTGAGTTTGCCAGGAGCGAGAACGTGCTGTACCTCAGCAGGCCAATCCTTCTACCTCGGAACACCCGATCAGGAGGCGAAGACCCCTTCGCAGACCTCGTAGTTGGCGGCCGTCGGGCGACTTGTCCCCTAAACAGGAAGAGGCAACGGCTTAAGCCGCGGGGGCTGGCGGGGGATGGAGTCCTAGGCTCGCCGGGCCCGCCGCCTCTGTCAAAGCGCGGCCATCCGGAACTACAACTCCCAAAGGGCTTTGCAGCAGCCAGCCATCCTCCCTCAGAACCCCGCCCTCTGGCTTCGGAGGCGGGGTCCCTGAGCAGGTGCACGAATGTCTGGTCGGCTGCGTCCTCTTCTCCGTCCGAAGAACCTAGGAAGAGAGTAGAGAAAAGATCTCCTGCGGAGTTTTATAGCATCACAGGCCACGTGAGAAAAAAGATGATGTGGCTGACGTCCCTGGTGACTTTTCTCTGGCTTTCCTGGCTCATGTTATGTTGTGATCACGCGCTTGAGCGCTGTGGATACTGAGGGAAGCTGGGGTGGGGTAGGACGGCAGGGAGGGCGTTGTTAGCTTGCATTGATTTCTCCCTGTTGGAGTTTTTTAAAGGCTCTGACAAATTAGACTCTAGACGAAAAGAAGCTTTCAGAGAATATTGACTCCCCTCTTCCCAGCAGTTTTCCACAAACCGACACAAATAAACACACACTCGCATTAAGTGTTTTGGTAAGAAAGTCAGCTCATGGTGAGTCCCTAAAACCCATGTGACATGCCCCAAGCCAGGGTTCTGTAAAAACAAAACAAAACAAACCCCAAAAAACTAGCATTAGAAGGCAATGTGCTGTAATGTGATCAAGACCCCAAGACCTAAATTTATCAAATAGAAACTAATTCCAAGAATTTTGCATGCATCTCTTTTTAAGTCTTTTGCAACTGCACATTTTACCTATTTTACAGAGAAACAGTCTTAGAAAAGTTTAATGACATGACAAGGCCAAACTTTCAAGTGTCGAAATATCTGGAATTCAAACCAATGTCTTCCAGACTCTGCTCTCAAACGCCTCTAAATATCCATTCTGATACTGAGGGCTTGAAAATTTTGGGTAGGTGACTTAGTGAGTGTTGCCTTTAAGAGAGATGCAAGATGTTACGCTGATAGTGTTCTTGTTCCAAAAGGCTTACCAGTGCTTTTTGGCTATGTTTTCAAATGAGCAATGCATTGTTTTGTAAGTCTCCCTGGTTGGAAAATTTTCTTCTTTCTCTGAATTCCAGTCCTAGAAAACAGTTTTAGGCAAGGTTGAAAAGTAAATAAATACTGTAAAACTGTCAAAAATGTTTATAACAACAACAAAATTGCTGAAATTGGTAAGAAAGCTCTGTTCATACCAGGCAGTAGGGGCACACGCCTTTGATCCCAGCACTCCAGAGGCAGATATAGGTGGATCTCTGAGTTCAAGGCCAGCCTGGTCTACAGAGATAGTTCTAGGATGGCCAGGGCTACACAGAGAAACCCTGTCTTGAAAAACCACAAAAAGAGAGAGAGAGAGAGAGAGAGAGAGAGAGAGAGAGAGAGAGAGAGAGAGAGAGAGAGAAAGAAGAAGAAGAAGAAGAAGAAGAAGAAGAGGAGGAGGAGGAGGAGGAGGAGGAGGAGGAGGAGGAGGAGGAGGAGGAGAGGAGAGGAGAGGAGAAGAGAAAAAGAAAGCGATCTGGTCATCTCCCCCATTTCAGGCGGTGGTGTTCTTGAAGGTGGCAGTCTATACTCTTGGTACAGATCACTGGCACCAAAGAGACCAATAGGGATCTTACTCTCAAGAAATTGTCACTGAGTGTTCTGACCTGCCTAGTGGATTCTTGGAGGTTCAGCCCAAAGTTTTGCCTTGTTTCATGGCCCTCATCTTGGCTCCCAGAGCAGGGCCTGTCCAAAGTATTTGAACACATAGCCATAGCTACAGGGGCAAGGTCTAAGTCCAAGCAAGAAAGAAACAGACCAGAATTGTGCCAGGCTTCCCACTGAGAAATTCTTAATTAATACATTCAGGTACTGTAGAATAGGATTTTAAAATTACTCAGGATAAAAGTAGGCCAGTAATTGAGAACAAATTCTTTTGTTTTGTTTGTTTGTTTGTTTGATAGATTTTCTCTGTGTAACAGCCCTGACTGCCCTGAAACTCTCTTTGTAGACCAGGATGGCCTCGAACTCACAGAGATCTGCCTGCTTCTGCTCCCGAGTACTGGGATTAAACGTGTGCACCTCCACTGCCCAGCAAGAACAAATTCTAAGACACACTGTCTCAGTTAGGGTTCTATTGCTGCAGTGAAACGCCAGGACCAAAAATCAAGTTGGGAAGAAAAGGATTTTTTTTTTTTTTGGCTTTTACTTCAGTATCACTGTTCATCTTCTAAGGAAGTCAGACAGGAACTCAAACAGGACAGGATCCTGGAGGCAGGAGCTGATGCAGAAGCCATGGAGGGATGCTGCTTACTGGCATGCTCCCCATGGCTTGCTCAGCCTGCTTTCTTATAGAACCCAGGACCATCAGCCCAGGGCTGGCCACACCCACTAAGGGCTGGCCCTACCCCCATCAATCACTAATAAAGAAAAAGCCCTACACACCACACAACCACACACATCGGCACACACACTAACATTTAATGACTAGGTAGAGAAGGAGGCATCCATAGAAAAGTTTGAGAATGAGTTGGTCATAGAGGCAGAGAAGAACAGCCAGGAAAAGCCAGGGAGGGGAGTATATTTTAGCATGACTGTTTGGTTTTTATTCTTACTTATTTATCTATCTTTTAGGTAAGGTCTGTAGAGGAAAAACTAGAAGAGCCATTACACCTGGCATTTACTCCGGAGTGATGGCCACTCAGGCCTTGAAGTCATCTGTGGTAAATAAGCAGTGATTGTTACTTGGGAGTTATGAAGTTGCTCTTTCTTGGGAATTTTAGAACATTAGCATGACCTCGGTCATAAGACATTACTGGCAAACCTGGAATTCTTATAGTGACTGTGTTTGCTTAGATAATGGTTCCTTCAGACAACTTCTAGATCAGAGAAGAGATTTTGGCATGTGGACATTGACTTGCTAAAAGGCCTTTTGTGTGTAACAATCAATAAAAGTGCTCCTGCAAAGCTTCAAGGCAGTCAGACCATCAGAAGCTGGTTCACCCTGCTGCTTTTTTGCTAAGCTTGTTACATCCTTTAGTGTTTTTTCTTCCTTCAACGGTCCTTCATACTTGAGAACACCAACAAAGGTCTTACTTTGTATCCCACATTGACCCAGAACTTGCTCTGTGACCCCATATGGTGTGGTCCTCTTGCTTCTGTCTCATAATGCTAGTAGTATGCATGAGTCACCGCATCTAGTTTTTCCATCTCTTTCAGTGGAAAGTTTCTGCTCTATCCAGAAGTAGGATGTATGGTGAACCTCTGTGTTTCTATTACTTATAAACAATCAATACAGAACCAAGTCTCATCTATAACCACATCTTTGTGCTTCTAAAATACAAAGACTGCTTTAAAAAGTCATAACCTTCACATCATCTTATCTAAAACATTAATATTTGCTTAGCATCATTTAGTATCTCATCAGTTAATAAATTTCTTGAAGCTGTGGAGATACCTCAGTTGGTAGAGTGCTTGCCACAGAAGTGCAGAGACTTGAATTTAATCCCCCAAACCCATGTTTAAAAGAGAGTCCAGGTTCATAGTGACCTGTGCTTCTAATTCTAATGCTGGAGATACATAGGTGGATCCCTGGGGCTCACTGGCTAGCCCAGCTAGCTAGCTTGTCAACCTCCAGATCAATAAGAGCCTCTGCCTCAGAAAACAGGGTGGGCAGCTCCCAAGGAAGGACACCAGAGGTTGTTCAAAGCTTCCATGCATATAACCATGAACACATGCTCCTACACATAAGTGCCTGCACACTCACAAAATAAATGTAAATTTTTTTTTTTAGATAGATTCTCACTATGTAACCCCAACTGGCCAGGAACTTGTTATGTAGACCAGACTGGCCTCAAACTCATAGAGATCTGCCTGTCTCTGTCTCCCAAGTGCTAGAATAAAGACATGAGATACCATGCCTGGCCCGATTTCTTGAACTGTATTATAAGTTTTATAGTTGGTTGGAATCTGGATCTACACATTTATATTTGATTTGTCTCTTAGGTCCTGAGATTTTTCCCCAGTAACATTTCCTGTATTTTGTGTTTTGTTGACTCTGTATCTGTGGTGAAAAAAAAATTCTATTTCTTCTATTTGTCATGGACTGGGAGTTAAATCTAAAAGTTTGATTATATTTAAGGTTGGATTTTGAGATCAAGCCTCTGCATGTAGTGTTTTGTACTTCCCACTGTGATATGTCAGGCAGTGCATGGTTCTTGGAGGTCTTTGTTTTGTGATATAAAGGCTGTCCAGTGGGTTTAAATGCTGTCCTCTTTGTGTGTGTGTGTGTGGGGGGTGGTGGTGTTCAGAACAAGATGGTAGCTAGGTAAGATCAGATACCAATTACCTCCCTAGAGATGCACTACCTGGAGTGTCCAGCCTATGGCCCTAGGGTATCATGCATCCCAGCATAGCTGTGGGTAAAGCCCAACACATTTGTAGATAACATCATGCCATAGTGTCCTAAGGGTGGACACCTCCGCCAGATTTTCATGCACTACACTACCTTCATGAGAACTAAAGAGGTAAGGTGAAAGACCACCCATAGTGTTCTGATTTTAGTATAAAAGGAAAAGACATGTTGAAAAAAAAAATGCCGAGGCCTGTATTACCCCTCCCATAATTCCAAGCTTCATGGAGAGTGATACCTCTACTTTGGAGATAGAGAAGGAATTAAGTCCTGACCTCCGATTTGAAACAGTATGAACCTATCCATGATGTCAGTGCTGGTGGAACTCTGTGCATCCTGTGGCCCAGGCTGTACCTGAAGATGTTGCTGCTGGACCTGTGATAGTCAGATGGCCAAGACTGCAGTTAGGACTCCTCTCCCACAACCTCAGCTAGTAGACTGGAAAGCAAGACCACCTACTGGGTAACACGGAAAGCAAAGACTCAGCCTTGGAGCTCAGTGCCAGCCTTAATAGTCCCTAAGGCAGCAGTTCTCAATCTTTGGGTTTCAACCCCTTTGGAGGTCAAACGACCCTTTCACAGGTGTCACCTAAGACCATTGGAAAACACAG